ACATGTTGGGATATCAATTTCTACCCTATTGGGTGTGTACCCGCACCTACCCTCTCTGACGGGGTGAAGGGTGGGTTTTGGGATTCTATTAGGTGTTAAATTTAATATTTTGAAATTTTATGTGAAGGAAAATTGGAATAATTGATAGTTTAAGTGTTTTCTATATGTCTTAATCAGGTAATTGATAATTTTGTTGTATATTTGTGTTCTTTTACTTATTTGTTGCTTATATATGATAATAAATAATAGGAAATTAGATGCAGGGTCTAAACCCAACCTGCCCCTATCCTTGAATACAGGGAGGGTAGAGTCGGGGAGAGTTTTTCATTTCATATACAAAAGGGATTTGAATTCTCAAAATCCAACATGCTACGGATTTTGAAGCAGATACAGGTTGAAAGGTTTAGAAAGATGAATAAGATCTAAAATTTACAAAACCTTCCCTTCCTCGAACCTATCCCATTGCCATCCCAATATACAAGGTACAATCTTGGGCAATACAAGGTCAATAAGGGGTTGAGATGTTTCTTCTTATTGGTAATTAGACATGTTCATGGGCCGGGCCAAGCTGGGCTCGGGTCGGGCTTTTACTCTTCGTTAATGGAAATTTGTTAGGCCCGAGCCCGAAGCCCGAGGACTCACCACCGGTGATTGTGTTCGCGGTGACTGTGAGCTGCGCCCTGCGATTTTAACAGTGATCAATTCGCGTCTGAGCAAGAGAGAGAGAGAGAGAGAGAGAGAGAAAGAGAGAGAGAGCTCGCACCGCCGCCGGTGCCTATATTCGCCGCCTCGCCGTCGCCGGTGTCTGAGATTTGAGAAGAGGAACGAGAGAGAGAAAGAAAGAGAGAGAAGGAGAGAGAGAGAGAGAAGGAGAGAACTCACCGCTAGACCTGTTCATGGGTCGGGTGGCCCGACAGGCCAGCCCGGCCCCTGGATGGGCTTGAACGTGGTTATAGGCCCGTGGGCTTAAATTCGGGCCAAAAAGCATGGCCCGCAATAAATTTGAGCCGGGCTCAAGTTTTGTCAAAATAGCCCGGCCCGACCTAATATTAGACTTAAAGTGAGTAGTGTGATTATGTCCATTTGAATAAATTTTTTGACTTAAGAATGTAAAATTGTGTTTTAAAATATAAAAGAAAGGGGAAAAAAACCATCTTGTAGGCCCATTGTTCATTTAAATAGGAAAAAAAATTTCTTAATTTTTAATTCTAATTTGAATAGGGAAAATTGTTGTTTTTTTTATTAGGTTGGGCTTCGGGCTTTTTATCAGGGCCGGGCTCGGGCCCAAGTTATAGGCCCGTTGGTCGGGCCGGGCTCGAGCTCGGGCCTAGCATACTTCCCTTAATGACAAGTGAAAGCCCGGCCCGAGCCCGGCCCAGCCCGGCCCATGAACAGGTCTACTCACCGTTGGAGTTGTTGCGTCGGTGAACGTTCGCCGCTTCGCCGGTTGTTTGGCTGCCTAAGAGTGTGAGGACTGAGAACTCTGGAGGATGTGGAAAAGAAAGGTTTGATTGGAAAAAGAGGTGAAATAAAGAGGGGTATTCGACTATGATTTTTAGCTTTAATTATAGGTCGGGCCGGGCTATTTCGACAAATCCCAAGCCCAACTCGAATTTATTGTGAGCCGGGCTTTTTGGCCCGAGGTTAAGCCTACAGGCCCATTTGCGTGTTCAAGCTTGTCCGGGGGCCGGGTTGGATCGGACCGGCCCGTCGGGCCACCCGGCCCATGAACAGGTCTATTGGTAATGAAAGTGTAATTCTAGGAGCAAAGACTATGCTACCAGATGAGAGCTCGTGCAAGAGTAAAAGTGCATCTGAGAGAATACCCGAATTGATGAAGTTTGTAACAGTTCCCATGTCAATCTCTATTAACCGTCTGTCTCATTTACAATGAACACCATGTGGCTAAATTAATGTTTCTCACATTTAATGAACTAGAGTGTTTGATCAAGGTCCTAACGGTTAGAGACGAGGTCGTCATTAAGCCTAGAGGTGAAATCTCACAATTGCCCTCCAAGGCATGTAAAAGGATAATGTTACCCTCCAAAGTTGCCACGTGTCTCAAATCAATGGGGCCAAAATATTTGGCAACCGTACTGGATCCAGTTCCTGTGTTGAACCGTCCAACCGTCCACTCCAAATAGATAGCCCACTCTGAAAAAAACATAAAAATGAATAAAAAATAGCTTAAAAATGGTTGTCCGGGAAAATGGTTTGATGGTTCGACAGTTCGACTACTCAGGTCAGCAGTTCATTGACCAAATCAATGGTTTTTGGCCAAAAAATAGTTTTCGGGTAAAACGAAACTGGTCAGGTGATTGATTCCTAGTTTTTTGGTCCAACCGTCTGGTCCAGTCTAGTTTTGAAAATCATGAATTAGAGTCCAAATTTGTTACTCCTCACACCTTATGTAATGGACTACATAACCAATCATGAGTAAACATGACAGTAGGGATGACAATTTTCTCCATTCCTGATGGAAATCCAACTTCCCCGACCCCATCGGGTCGGGGATGGGGATTGAGGTCCCCGCCCCGACCCTGAATATATATATATATATATATATATATATATATATATACATATATAATCCTGCTCCAAAACCCCTTAACTGCAGTACTTTGAAGACAAAATACCCGTGATGCATATCATATGATACATATTGATTTTTGAACTTTTGATACCCTATTTAAAAGGAGGAGGGTCTTTAAGTTTTAAGCATTAGGCCCTTTTTATCTTTCATAATCCAAAACATCATGAATCCAGATTTTTTCCCAACAAAAAAACGATTTCAACATGATTTATATCTACACATCTCATAGAAGGTGGGTCTCAGTCTTATGGTGAGATGCGCAAAAATAGATTATATAGTCAAAAAAATAATAATTGAATAGAATATGATACAGTTTAAATGTTCAAATTTCTAACACTTTGAACCTTGATATAAACTAGTTTTATTAGTTCTCCTTATGTTTGATTTGAAGGAAAAGGTAAAAAAAGATAGGAAAACTTATTGAAGATTTGTAAAAGTTTTCCCACCTTTTTCCTTCCTTTCTTTACTTTTTTCTTCAATAACCAAACACAGACTTAGGGAATTACTGACTGCATTATGATCTATCCACATCCACTGAACCGGATTTTGATCAAACAGAAAATGAAAACTAGATTAGTAAATGTTTAGGAGTTTGATTGATAAAGCAAAAGAACAGTTGAAGTATAATAAATAACTATATGGCTGCAGGGGTCCACGCTTGGGCACGCTCAATTAATAGCCCATGTGTTCATTCATTACTCATAAGTGAGAAAAAATGATCTAATTTAGAAATGTAGAAGAAAAGTGACAGAGAGTGACAATAATATTACCTTATCTTATTCATCGTGTCCATGAATCATGAGTGAGAAGGTTAGGCACTTAAGAACTGTTGGAAACGTAAGTTTTGTTAGTCACCCAATTTGCAGAGAATCAGAGCACCTAACACGGGGCCCACTAAATCCGATCCATACTTTGATGGATTCTTGTAAACCACGTTCTTCTTCTATTAACGTTCTCTCTTTCTCATGCTCCAAATATATGCTAATTGCGACATGTTACCGAAAACATAGAAAATTCAAACCCCAAGTAGGATCTAGCTTTATCGCAAATGATCTTTTGATATAAAAATCAAAACCCAAGTAGTTGCTTTCATTTAAGACGTTGATTATAAAAAGGAAGTTGCTTTCATGTAATTAATCAGTCGTCTTGAGCATAGTTTAGTTTACGACCATCTTGTGGAGAACAGGACCGACACTAGTCCCATTCCCAACGTTTTACGGAGATTGGGAACTTGGGATCACTACTTTCGATATAGAAAAGACAAAACAGAAAAGAGAGAGGACTGACACTGTCGCGACTCGCGAGTCGCGCCCCAACATACATCTGCTTGCATGCAGTTGGCTTTCGTGGAGCATCACCAACTTCCGATACAGAGACACACAGAAAGCACAAGCATGAGTCCAGGACTCCAGGCTCCAGAGGACCAGACCTAACCTTCTCGTACGCATAGACTGGAAAAACCAAAATTTTTCACCCTTCACTAATCATTGCTTACCATTTTTAAGGAATGACTGTATGATGATCAACTTCTGTTCACTTTTTTATTCCTGAGAGAACGTAGTATTTATTGTACAATACTGCACTACACAGAGTATTGATTATTGAATAGAATTTTATGTCATTACCAGAGAAAACAACAAGCATACTTCTGGAAGTAATTAATGTTTCTAAATTCGTGAGCTCTGTTCCTATCCAATGGCAGATTTGTTCAGTTTTTGTGGTATTGAAGATTGGGCTCTTCCACGTGCTTCTTGTTGTATCTCTTCTTCGAAGCATTTTCAGTGAAATTTTCACAACCCATGTGATATCAAAGTATTTAGATGCAACCCATGTACGCCTTTACAAGTTTTAATTTCTGGTTATTCTTAGAATTTAGAACTTGTATGTATGGAGTAGAAGCATTGCACTAGAGCTTTTTCTGAGAAATCTATTATTTCTAATAATCAAACTTCTCGGTTGCCAAAGGATCGTAGACAAACTTACACATACGAGGATTGCCTTGCCCCGCTGACAGACATGTACTGTTACACTACACTTTAATTAATATTACAAACAATACTCAAGCATCCTTCCTTTCTTTTTCTTTCCGATCGTTATTGTACACTACTTCATAAAAGAACCGCACCAGGAGAATCGCCTTCCTTCCATCACAGAAAAGATCTGGGCCCTCCATCTTATTTGATCCTATCCATCTTAGAATAACTTCCTTTCCTGCAAGAAGGAAAAACAACACAAAATTTGTAGATAAAATTAGAAATTTTGCTGTCAACGTGCGTAAATATGTAATGCATTGACCTACGTGCTCTTTAGCCCATTTCTGAAATGCCGCCGATGGTATTTAAAAAGTTTTGACATTAAAATAACTTAATTAAAAAGAATATAATGTGTTTAATTACCGTTTTCTCTCTTAGTAGTGGTGTGGAGGAGGAGGGGAAGCATAATAGTAGACATGTGGTGGCGAGTAGACGGGAGGAGGAGGTGGTGGAGACTTGTACTTGTACACTGG